CTTTGCATAAGGCGCTAGGTCCATTATTATTATTTTATTCTGTTTTTATTATTAATTTTTATTCAGATCCAGTTTTTTGATCAGTCAAGTGTATCCAGGTCTCTTCCAGGATCTTTGTAGTTTTAATATTGGCTTTAATGAAGAGGAAATTTCACTCCTGCCTCCTTTTGGAAATGTTGCTGATCAGGACCCGTCTGTGGCGGGAGGGAGCTCAGACAGACGCACGGAGCAGGAGGTCCCTGGTGCTTTCTGGGTGCCTGTCAATCAGCCGTGCAGAGCCACAGCAGCTCACCTGGGCACTGCACCGAGGGCAAGTGCAATTAATTTCTAGGCCTCGTCTCGGGGAAGAAAAAGCATGAAAAGAAGATGAAGATGGCTTTTAAGGGGGGAAAAGTGGTATCAGAGACTCACAAGTCCTGTTCTTAGTGAAGGTGGTGGGGAACGCTCACATCATGCACGGTTTGGTGGCTCGTGGTTCTTGCAGCATTGGCTCATCTTGCCCATCGGCTTGCATCTTCCTGCTGGAGCCTCCACATTAAAACGTGCTGCAGGTAACCATCTCCAGGCAGACGTGTTTGGAAGGACAGGCTTATGAGAGCCATTGGGGTTTTAATATGGGCAAGTCGTCTTCTCATGGCTCCCATTTCCAGAGGAAATCCAAGAAATCCTGTGCTTCATGCCAGAAGCCACGGTGCAATGTCCAAGTACTGTCAGGGCAGGGAGAGCTGAGGCAGATCTTCAGGATTGAGACTTGCTAAGCCAGACACATGGTCATCTGGGCCTGTGTCCACCAAAACATGAGTATTTCCAGGCTGGCTTTTCTTAGCTTGGTTTGTACTTAACAGGAGCCTTTGTGTCTCTGTGCCTCTGGGAAGAATAGATGATGATCATATTTGCAGGTTAGTCCTGCTCATCTGTTTGAAAGCAGAGGGTTGCGCAGACCCGACTGTAATGAAAGGGCAGAGCGTCCTCGTGGCCTCCTGGTAATCCTCCGTTTGTCCATCAACTGTTTCCTCTTTTCCACACAGGCTGAATTTCAGATTAAAACCTCCTCTTTCTCCTGTCAGTGTAGCTGCACAATCACTGGAGGAGGAGGGACTGCCAGCCACGGGACGTTCCCGAGGCATCTGAGTGACACTGCTCTGCTCTTTGGTAGCAAGTCAGCAAAAATGGGTGCTCATTACAGACCTGGGGATCCTATTGCTCAGAGGAAGAAAATTTCAGGTCAGGTCAGCTAAATTTCCTTCTCTTTCTCCGTTGCGTTGCACATCGGTTAGCACATCACGCTGGTCTCAGCCATGGATGCCAGCGTCGTTAAAATGACATTGTGTTTGAACAGGGATCTTGACTCGACACTTACTGCAGTATGTGTCCTGAGTGCACCTCTTCCATCAGACATCCCAATTTACACGTCTATCTTTAAAACTGTTTCCTTAACTGTTATTGCCCATCAAACTTTGACTTCAGCCTAAGAGGCTATGAGCGCTTGGAGGTCTTCATGTCACCGGTTCAGCTGAAGGGTGCTTGGGATGTGTTCCTTGATGTCTTTCATCGTTTGATTGTTCTCCACTGCTGCCCTACACTCAGCGAGGGGAGCTCTGTGAATTATTTGTGCTCGAAGACACACAAAGTGCTGTTGATACTGTCGTTACCACCGGCCATCTCGACGAAGGGTGGCTGGACAGATACCCTGCCTGAACTAGTAAATTGGCAGACAGTTTTTCAAGACTTATAATTCCTGTGCTGCTCCCTCAATCCCGAGATGAGAACAAGGATTAGCTTATTGTTACTGCTTTCAGTTGGCCATAAAACCAGAGCCTGGTGAGGGGGGTGGGGAGCTCTCCTGGAGCAGTGGATCAGAATTCCGATGAGGCTTCAGATGGATTTATTGGAGTGGCACACAGTACACGCAGTGTGGGCTTTGAGTTAGGACATGAAAGAGTGGTGCGTTCCCAGCAGCAGAAGGCATTAATGAAATATGTTCCTCTTACTGACTTGCTTTGAACTGTCACCTATGACTACAGCAACCGCATTCACGGGGCTGTGCAGCACTTACTGATGTGCAGCTAGTAAAATCAGTAAAAATGTCCCTGCTAATAGAGTACATAATGGCAGTGCTATTGTTTCTGCGGCCGCCGGTGCAGACAGGGTTTTCTGGAGCTGTGGAGCAGAACCTCCCTGCGCTGCGAAGCTGAGAACATTGCCTGCTCTGACGGGAGGACTGCTGCCGGGAACGGAGGCTTCTTCGGGTGCAACCTTTTGCTCTTTCCCTAGTACCTGATTTTCTCTGACAAAAGAGGAATAATGGAAAAAAAAAAAAAGAAACCACCCCACTCTGCACAAGGGGAATTTGTGGTCCTCCTGTAGAGGTCCTGGTGCTGACCAACTGCAGCTGTACGTGGGTGCTGCTGGATCCCAAAATGATGTCCTTAAATCAGAGCAAATGCTCCCCATGCAGGTGGGGTCATGGTTACCACCCTTTCTGCTTTGCAAGCTGCAAGGGTCATTTCTAAAAATGCATTGTATCCACATAACATTCGGTTTGGAAATCCTCTCATGCCCTCTGCGTACGTCTGTCTTGTAACGAGATGTCAGCTTGCGCGGGCTTCTCTCCAGGAGCTTCAAACCCCCGTGTTTCACGTGTTAGCTCTTCCTGCCTACCTGGGACCTAAGCAAACTGCTAATTGTTGTGCAGATGTCATCTTCCAGGCAGGCATGAGGTTGTAGGCTTTAAAGAGGCTTTACTGTCATTTGCTACCAGCTTTCTCGGTACACGTGAGCTCTATTTTTATGGGAGTGCGTGTTTTCTTTCAGCCGCTGCTTTGTTGAATTTCTTTTTCTCCTTTTCTCTTTTTATTTCCAGGCTTGCAGGTAAAGTTTTAGGGATACATCTGTTTTTCATTATCCCAGTTTTGCCACTTGTTTTATAACTAAAAAAACCCCAAAACCCAAAAACTGTTTCCTATGTAAAAAGCACCAGTTTGTTCTGAGATGAGTTGAGGGTGGAACGGTGTGTCGTGGTCAGTCTGAGATTGAGATCCTGACTGTGGCATTGGCCAGAAGGGCACATAGATCTTCCGGGAGCAGATGAAGTTTGAGCCCGTGAATTCTGCTCTGGGTTTTCCAGCTCAGGAACCTGGGTGTTGGTTGTAGCGCGGTTGTACTTGGTGGAGCCCTGAGTGAGAGACGGAGGCTTTGGCCACAGGTTGTCTTTGCCTGTCTTCTGAAAATGGAGAGCTTTTCTTCTCCTCCGGTTGTAGTATAGTAAGGGCTTGTGGGTCCTTGAGGTGGTTCTTTGACCCTTTAGAAAAGAGGAGGACATCGAAGGAGGATATCAAGCACCAGGTCAGAAACACAAGGTGGTACTTGCGTGCACGGTGTGAATTAAGCAGTGGGACTCGTTGCTGAGGGATGCTGTGGGTGTCAGAAGTCCAGATCTGCTCCAAAAGCAATTAATGGGAAAATAAAAATCCGGTTGAGCTGGATTTAAGCTCAAAGATACAGGCTGCTGTTCAGGAAGACCCTGGGTCAGGAGTTTTTGGAAGATGCAGAAGTGCATCGGATATATGACCATTTATGCTCCCTGCTCTGCTGCTTTTTCCTAGATGTCCACCACTGGCCAGCGTGATGCGGTGTTTTGCCTTTTATTTTCTTATTTTGGCTAAAGCAAAAACCAAGCAGGAAGAGGAAGAAGTAACATAACGGAGTGGGGAGACAAGATAGCAGTAAAGGGGTGGAAGGAGAGGGCTCCGCTCCCTCCGTGTCCCCTAAGTTTTTGTGGGGGGAGGAGTTGGTGTTGGGTGTGCCTGTGAGCATATTTTCTGCTTTGTGGAATAGAAGATGGTTGCTTCAAGGAAGGTAAAAATCTGTGATGTGATGTGCCATCCTGATGGACAACAGAGACAGAAAGAAGGATATTTAGGACTGCGCGTATGGGAGGAAATTCTTTAAAACCTGGATAGGAGTAGGAGCAGACTTGATGGAGGGATGAGTAATGAAGGAGTGTTTGAACGGAACTAATCAGTCCCATCTTCTTTCAAAAGACCTCATTTAGTTTAATTTAGCAGTGTGTAAATTTAGAGCCAATCAAAGGAAATACTTCTCCATCCTGTGTGCTGGCAGGCTGCTTCGTTCCCTACCCCAGCGTGAGAAGCAGCGAGCTGAACGCTGTAGGTGGATTTAGAGCCTCGTGTTGTGAGGCAGGGGGGGCACACGTGTGTGTGAGCGTGGTTACACACGTAGTGGTGGGGATACCAGCTCCGTACCAGGGTGACTGGCAGCCACAAGAGCAGGACCCTTCTTTCTTTCCCCCTCTCTTGTTCAGTAGCTGGTCTGCGGTCGGTCGGGGTGGCTGTATGCCATGGGACTGCTTTGTGGTCCACCGCAAGTGCGGGCGGAGCCGGCTCCTGGGCTCACGGTTCGGGTGAGCTGGCGCTCTGAGCAGCGGGGAAAGCCTTGCGCTGTAGGAACCACCAAGTAAACCTTGTTGACCTCTGCAAAATGTTGTTTTCCTCAAGAAAAACCTACATATGGATTTAGATAAACCCCTGATCCTTTGACGGCTGGTAGTTTTGTTCAATTTGAATTAACGCAGCTACTTCTGTGCTTAAAATGAGGCACAGGCACAAAAAGCCTTCGCAGGTTTGAACTGTTTTTTATTTTTCCCTGTAGTTGTCATCCATGGTACTAACACAGTGATCTTAAACAAGACTTGCAGGTCTCTTCATGTTTTCCAGGAGAGATATAAGCCCCTGCGGGGTCAATATAAACTACTTTGTCGTTACCTGTCATAAACTCCATTAGCAGTAAAATTGGCACCCCTTGCTATCGGCTGCCCCTGATGAGACCCATGCGCTAACATAACGCCTCGAGGTGTTTTATTTCCTGCGGTGTCGCACCCCTGAACCTGTGCTGCGTTGCAAAATGTCATGTAAAGAATGCTGAAACCTGTGAAAACATCAACTAAAATATTGTCGGTTTTGTTTTCCTTTGCATTTCAGGCTGGTGGCAATGTCTCACTGGGCCGGTCTCCTCTTCACCATTGCCAAAGTCAACCTGCTGGTCTTGGTGGTTTCTGCGGTGTTTTCCTGGTCAAGCCTAAGCGATAGAGTTCCCGTAAGTGTTGGCTGCTCCGGCCGAGAGCCACGCTCGCAAGGCTGTCCAGCCACCGGAGTCTCTGGTGGGGCGACAGCCTTACCTGATCCCTCTGTAGGGCCATTCAGCTGTTGGTGAATCACCTCTCCTTGACAGTGGGTCTTCAATAACAACATTTCAGAAGGGCTTCTTTCTTAAGACTGCTTGCCTCGCCCCAGGAAATCCAGAATATGCTCACTCCAGAGGGTTTGCAACAGGAACAGTGCAACTCGGACAGCTCTCTTGTTTGCTAGATGTCACTTTTTCTATTTGGAATTGTTACATGTTCCCCCTGTGGCAAGAGGCAAAGCTAATTATGTGGTGTAGTGGCAAGAAGAGGGGAGGAGGTGGCCTCGATTAGGTTCCTAGCTGTGCCTCTGTTGAGTCACTGCAAGTGAGTCAGACTTAGAAGAGCATCCTCTCAGGTCCTTGCGTCCCACGTGCATGGATTTTGCTACTTGCAGTGTTATTTTGAAGCTGCAGTTGAGGTGAGTGGATGCTGTCTGCCCCTTTGCACTTGTACAGGCGTGCAAAACTCCCCTGGTTTGGATTCTGCTGCTGAGCCCCAGGTGCCAGGCCCCGCTAGATTAGCACATCTGGAAGGCTTCCTTGAGGAAGGTCGGTAGTAGAGTGTGGTGGTTTTTTAGTTTAATTAATGCTGTGGCTTAAAAGAGGGGATCCCCCAGCAACACTGGCATAGGGGATCACTGGCCCCCGTGTCCCTGGACACTCGTTCCTGCCTTTTCATTGCAGCTTGCTGGTCTGTTGGTTGTGTGATGCAGCTGTTTGGGGGCTGCGTTATTACCCAGAGCAAATACAAGGGACAGATTACAGTATAAGCACTGTAGGTCAGTGCCTCGGGCCCACCTGGAGTCCTGTAGTGATGAGATAATTTGTCTTTATTTAAGGGAGGGAGGGGAGGAGGCTGGAGATAGAGCACCGTCATCCCAGCTGGAGAACAAGCACTGGGACAGCTACCAGTGATATGTGCCCGAATTGGCAGGCAGCCTGACACCGAGGTTCAGACAGGATTAATGCAATGGGTGGTTACACTCCCCTCTACAACCGCTCTGTGGTGGCCACGTCCCTCCTTTATTGCAAACAGACTGCAGATTGTCTCAAACCCTCCCTGCTGAGGCTTTTCAGCTTATTGCAGTTGATTTCAGACTGATAAAGCAAGGAGGCTTTTTGCCTTTAAGGAAATTTCCATTGTTCTTTAGAAAACATCTTTCCTTCTGCTGTTTTAATTATGAAAACAAACTGAAAAGGATCCTACCTAATTTCTGCGTAAATAAGACTCGCTTGTGTGTTGTTGCCCATTTTTGCCAGAAATGCTAACGAAAATGGGGTATTGCAAAGCAATTGCAGGCCAAGCAGTGAGAGTAACATTTAAATGAACCAAGTCACATCCTTTTACCCTTACTGATCATTCAGACCACAGCACTTCTCTTGAGCAGAGCTGGTAAACATCAGCCATCCCCATTATGTGTTTCAGCAGATACAACACTCGGAGGCCTGTTGGTAAATTTACAATGGCCTGTATCGTTAAGCCCCTCTTGGATAATAATATAGCAGCGTAAATAAGCTAAGTAATAACTGCTCTGACTCATTTATTTTAGTCCTGTTGAGTCTTGGCTCAGAAAACGTTAACGCTGATTTTCATCAGTAGAACCTGGCTTTTTATGTTTATGATTGTTACTGAGCTTTAACCATTTGTCATAATTTTAACAATTTCAAGCCTCTGATGCACTAAGCGAAAGCAGGAGTTAAGCTCTGTTTTCCAGTGCATTTCTGAAATTTCAATCCCTTTTGACAGATCAAATAAAAACTTTCTATAGGCTTGTCAACCATCTTCATGCGTTACCACTGTCGTTGCTAATTGTACGTGTTTTGCTCAGGCTGACATTTCTCTTGCTCGGAAACAATCTCCTCGGCTGGATAATGGATATTTATATGCAAAGCACCCAGATTTTGCCAGAAAATATGCACACATTTTTTCCAAGAAGTGGAAGAAGTGAAGGCAGAACATGGCCTAAAATTTCCAGTTAACCTCTTAATTGACTTCTTTTTTTCCCTGTGAAAACGTTCTAAAGATTAACATCAAAACACTTCATGAAGTGAGCTGTAACTCTTATTCTAATTGCCAACAACTGGGAAGAAACTTTTCCTATAGGCTGGTTATTTGAAATTATTCAGTGGTGTCATCCTTGGCGATAGCAGAAGCTGATGATACTCCCTGCAACAGAAACTGAGCTGTCTGGACGATTAGCCTGGACCGGCTTATCTGTTCCTGTGAAAACCAGAATAGCAAAGACCTGCTTCCCGAGCAGTTAATAGCCTAGTGTGAGATAGTACGAGGCTCTTACTTACTATGCACTCTCAATAATTTTACCCGTTGCAGTTTTACATGACTCCCACCAGCTCCCTAGGGAGACTTGCCAGTGAACAGCGAGGTTTCCCTCGCGGCAAGGATTTTTTTTTTCCTGCTTTTCATCCTCGTTTTTTTCCTTTGCGCAATGTCTCACCACTCGTGCTAGCTGATCTACCACACCTCTGCCATTCGCGTGCTGCACTTACAGTGTAGGTGGTGATTAAATCGCTGCCTCATTGTTTTAAAAGACTTGGAGGACACTGGGAACGGGTAAAGAAAAGGATGCTTGCATTTTTATCGTGTGGGCAATTTGGTGCGTTTTCCCCATGTCCTATTTTGGAAATAGCTGAACTATTTTAGCTGAAATCTTCTCCAAGCCTGAAATAAGTGCATTTAAGAAAAAAAAAAAAACAAACCAACGCTTGAGGCATTCCACATTCCACTCGTGTGGAAAATTTCAGCTGAAAAAGTTAAAAGTTTGACATATTTTTAGGCAAGGGAAAACAGGGTCTTACAACGTTACACAACCCTAATAATAGTCAGGGCTCCTGGCTCTGAGTGTAATATAGGTGAGGCTCTCCAAAAGCTTCTTTTAAACCTGCAGCCTGCACTGGAATAGGAAATAAGTTGCATTGCTTTGTTCAGCACAAATGTCATGCTAGTTATGCATGTTTAACCTTTAATATACTTTAAATCTAAATTTAACCATGTGGAAAGAATCTTGGATGTCAAAAAAAAAGAAAAATCTGCTGGCGAGGGAAAAAAATTTGTATTCTCAGCCGGCACTAAATTACCCAGATGCAATTGCTAATGAGCTGAATCTCTTCTATCCGAAAGGAGTTTGCCCTTACAAAAATAGAAGAGAGCGACATAAAAGATGACAGCGGGAAAGAGCCAATAACAGAAGATGATGCTGATCCTGAGGACCTGGAAGTGTTTTACCCCACACATCAGTGGCAAACCATCCGTCCAGGTAACATGCTGATGACTAATTATAGCGTCCCTCTGGAACCCCACCTGACAGCGCCAACAGAAGCCTTGCAGAAACTCAAAATACCTGTTTGTTCCCATGACAATATGATGGGGGGTTTTTTTGCTGGTGTTCAGACAGAGAGCTATGGACTCAATGACACAATACAGGGCAAGGAGACCGTCCCCGAACCGGCTGGCAACGGGAGCGGTTGCTAAAGTGCTTTCAGTTCACTGGAGCAGGTTGAGTGGGCTGCCAGTCACATTGTAGGTGGTGATGTGTCTCTGTCACTAGCTCAGAAGCCCTTTCCCTCTTTGTACGCTTGTCAAGGGACAGATTTTATAACATTTGTTGGCACGCGGTATCCCAGGTCTGCTGTGCTCCAGTGTGGGCTGGTGAAATGCTGCTCAGTGGCAATCTGATTAAGAACTGTCAATGTAACACTACACAGCTTTTTAACAATGGGGTTTCTGTTCTTTGGCTATTTGAAATCCAGCTTTTATCCTTATCTGTACATCCCACAAAAAAATCTCTTCCCTTTTTTTTGGGTTGGTATCTTTTATTAGATGTGTATGGGATATGTATGGTGAGAAAAAACCAACTGAGCAGGCTGGCTTCGCTGCAAAAACCCGTGCGCTGGGAAAGGCTCTGGAGAGGATAAGCCCATTTAAACACACACACAGATGCATGCGTGCACACATATTTCAGCAATTAGGATGATCAGTAAGCCTTCCTCTCGGGTCTTGGACAAGGTATTTAATCCACTTCTGCTTTGGTGTCCTCATGTATATGCAGGTGTAATACCTTCCCACCTCAGAAGGGTGAAGTAAGTAGTAATTAATTTTTATAAAGTGCTCTGAATTTAAAAGAGCTTTATCCTGTGCTCAGTATTATCATTGAATGAATAAATATGGGATCCATTTGTCTTGAAATTTCTGCCAGATACAGCAGAATGACTTTTCCAAATGTAAATCTTTGTATAACATAAATGTCTAGCAAAAGCCCCTAAATTTCACAAAGCTACAGTATATACTTCTATTCCATTTTTGTACCATTATGTATGGAAGGCGTGTGGTGTCCCTGCTTAGTATTCAGACTGGCAGATCCCCACCACCCTTGTTGAAGCAGAGTATGTATATACTTGCAGTCATTATAAACATCGTTGCCGGTTTTGTTCAGAAGCACCTTCTCCATTGCTCGGGTGTCTTGCTCTGCTTTATTTTTGTAGCAATTCCACATTGGGCATGTGCAGCGAAGGGCTTGTGGAAGTGGGGAGCTTGTCAGCATTCACAGAGGAGAAGAATTTCAGTTACTCTTGTAAAAGTCTTAAACGGTGGCCTGCCTCATTGTCTGGTTGCTACAGATCCTCATTTCAGGTCTGCACACGGATTTGGGTAGAAACATGTCAGAAAGAGGAGTCTTCCTTGATCTCCCCCCACCAGCCTGGTTTTTGTCTCCTGTGGGTTTCTCTGAAGCGAAATCCTGTGTGTGGACTGTGACTCGCACTTTTAGCACGTGTATTACCCGAAGCAAGGCTGGGGAACCTGCTGCCTTCACTAGCCCATCCCTGCGGCCTCTGGCCTTGAAGGTTTCCCTCTTGCTAGCACAGGTCCGTGCTGGGGAGGGAGTTGACCCGCCGGACAAGGGAAGCAGCCAGCGTTGGCTGCACAAGTGCCTTTCGGTCCTTCAGCAGATGTGCACGTGTTGGCTGTGTGTCCGATCTGGTGGTTCTGCATCTTCCGATGTTTTCTGATGTGACTTCGCTTGCTCATAGCCGAGCAGAGTCCTGGCTGGGCTGGCTGGTGTGTGCTTAGCACAGGCCAAAGTGAACCGCAGCACAATGCTCAGAAGTTTGCTTTCTGCTGCCCGCCTCTCAGGGATGCCCCCGTGCCGTCTCCCGTTGTATCCCTGCAGCAAATGGGGCCAGTCTCTCCTGGGGAAGCAAATGTTTTGATTTAAAATCTGGATCTTCAATTCTGAATAGTGGAAGGGAGCTCAGAGTTGCGTTTCCTCCCGTTGCACTCCTCTTTCACCTTGTTCCTGTTCTGAGCTCAACACGGGATTTTTTTATGCCTCTGTCTGGTCCCACAGTTGCTCATCTTTTATACATGTATTTCCAGTTTTACTCTGCTGTTTTTCTAGTTCCCTGTTGCTAATTGCATCAAACCACACTTCTGCCGAGACTGCAGCAGTGTCATCAACCTGTAACCTGTCAAATCCCTCCACCTAATTCAATTGTTATTGTATATGTAGCGCTGCTTTGTGTGGTTGTTCCCTCGCTGCCTACAGTGTGAGCTGGGTTTTGATCAAGTGCTTTCTTGCACTTTGAGCACGCTTCAAGCTGCTGGAGGTAGCTGGATGCAAACAGAGAGAGACAGTTATCCTAAGAGCTCTGCCACCTGTAATCTGGAAGCAAGGAGATCAGTTGTCTCTTCTGCCAGCCAGCCAGGAAGCTGATGGACTGTAGAAAGGTTGGTGAAACTTCACAAAGTCCTTTAACACTTTGTTAGGCATTCGCTTCTCTCTCATTTGGCGCTAAATAATGCACCAGGCACGGCTGGGTTAGACAGAAAGGATATGGGTGCCTTGGAAAGTCCTCCCAGCACCTCCATTATTTTACTTTTTTTGGTATCATCTGAGGAAATGATGAAGACATCTGCAGGGCTTTTTGCTCTGTTCTTGGTTGGCGTCCATAGGAACTTGCAGGCTACTTGGGTTTTAACAAGTGGGATTGCACTGAATGGATGTTCACGCCCATGGTCAGATCTCTTCTCGTGGTCAGGTATCTGTTCCTCCACAGGCGCAGAATTTTTTTGAAGTTGTCCTTCTCCTGATGCTTTGCTTTCCTTTCCTTTCTGCTTTCCTTTCTGAATGCGCTTTTACCAGGTGATAGCACCCTCGTGAGTTGGAAGTTCTCTGGAGAAACATAGCAGAGGTGACTTGCTTTTGTTTCTGCTTACGTTAAGCTCTTCCAAGTGCCTGGAGGTGAGTCTGTCAGCACACAGAAACACCCCACCGCTTTTCAAGGCGATCTTTGCCTGTTGGTTATGGCAACCAAATTCTGATTCCTTAATCTTCGGGATGGCGGAGATGAATGGAAGGATTGGATGGCATTGATGGTCTTTGTCAAACTGACAGTTTTCTTCGGGGTTCTGTATATAAAAGCATTTCTTCCACATCTGTAGGTGACCTCAAATCTGCCACGCAACATCCTAGAGCACATGAATGCTTAATTTCCCAGGAATTACCTCCTTTTGTTAGTTGGGCACCTTGTTTTCCTCTGTTCCGTTTTAGCATTCCTGATGATGATTGAAAGTGGGATTGCTCTGACCATTTAGTCACATCACTGACCAGCAGACATTTTCCGCCCGTCATTAGGGTCAGAAGTGGCTCCTCTGAGAAGACATTGCTGTGAAGATTAAGAAAAAAGATATAAGAGGCAGGGGTTTAACTGGGAAAGAAAAAGGGGGTTAATCATCTCCTCAGCAGCAACCAGTGCTGCGGGGAGCCCCGTCTGTGCAGTGCCTCTGCAGATGGGCTCTGTCCACCTCCGTGGCAGCAGCGCTTTCCTGCTCCCTGACGTGGCAGAAACTCGCTGGCTGGTTTCTCAGCTGACAGTTTGAAGTTGGGAATTAATGTGTCCCGTTTCCAAACACAGATGGAGCAAGCGAGACCCTCATCTGCCCGAAATATTAAAATATTTACAGTCTACTCTGCATGCTTTCCATTTGAGAGGAGCCAACAGTGGGGCACAGAAAGGCTTCCTTTGGTCCAGAGCAGCTCCCTGCAGACCAGAGAAATGGAGCAAAATCTTGCATTGGTGATTGAAATGTTGCAGCATTGGATCTCTCTCAGGTTTGGATAGCGCGTCTCAGTATCTGGCCGGGCAGAGCATGCGTTACAGGAGTTCGGCTGGCCTGTACCTTTAGCTGTGGTTAAACGTCTGGCTTGCAGAGCGCTGTGCTGATACCTGCAGTTACTCTATAGCATTTGTACTGTTCAGAGTCATTTTCCTAAGTGCCTAATTATATTGCAGTTAAAAAATAAGAAGCCATGACTGCCGCTGTTGATCAAACTGCCAGAGTGAGGTTGATGTGAGCACGCTGTTGTTGGTGCTTCTGCAAAGATGAAACCATCTTATGTTCAGCGGGGAGCTGATGATACATTGCTTAGCATTTAAATATCCACGGCTGCAGCTTCCAAGGGTCCTCGGGCTGCTTTCTCTGTTTTACGTGTACGGAAACACAGTTCTCAAAGAAAGCGTTCATGTTGGGGAGGTAATTTCAGAAGCTGCTTTGGCAGACTTTCCATGGTTTTGCTAGAAAGAGCAGGACTGGTGATGGGGCATAACTCAGTCTAGTTTCATTGCCAGTCTTTGTCTTTCAAGACATTTCAGCGTCTGAATGAACCAGCGCTGCTCTAAGCCGAGAAGAGGTTTTTAAAGCTGGGAGGAGAAGGTAATGGCAGGAGGGATCCCTTTGGCTCAGGAGTCCTGTGCCAGGGCCTGTCCCACAGCCTGTGTGGGTGATGTGGTGGCTGGCGAGGATTTCCTTACACCTTGTCAGTGGGTATTTTGCTCCTGCCATTCACCGGGATGTCCTGAGCTGCGCTGACTCCTGTTAATTGCTTTGCTGAATTAATGAATCTGTCCGAACCATTGGTTTCTCGGTGACCTAGACCTAACTCAAACAGTTGCGTGCAGGTCTCTGAAATACCTGTGTCAGCACGGGCAAGAGAGGGCTGTGAAATATGGCGTTAAACCACCAGGGTATGCTCGTTTTTGCAAAGCTTGACGTGTGTAATCCAGGAAATAGGAGCCTCATCAGATCAGCACAGATTTGCATGAAGAGGAAAGGCAAATGGGATTTTAAAAACCTCATTTATACGAGATGAAATGCTTCTTTTCCAGTTTTGGTTTTTTTTTAAATAACTTGTTACCGATGTGCAGAGGGGAAAAATCTCAACTGTGGAGTCATTATAATATTCTCTGGCCAGCAACAGGC